CATTCATTCGTCTAAAAAAAAGGTTTAGGACTCAAATCAATTTACCAGAAACTACACCCATTCTCGCACATTGTCATTGCATAAGAAGATCAAGAACTTAAATACTTATTGTGTCAAATCTTGGTGCAAATATTTGATATTCAAAACACATGCTCTTTCATGTAATACCATGTACAACAAATCAACTCCTTGCTATATTTTGTTTTGAAGAAATAAGGTAACCATTTCTTTCTCAAAGCCATGTAATTAGATTTAAGAAAATCTTCCCAGATTTTTTTTATTAAAAAGGAAATCCTCATATGCATATTTCCAATCAAATATATTTTTATTTTACTTAACGTAAATAAGATAATAAAGAGGATTCGATGTGACCAATACTTCCCCAACATTCAAGAAAATATTCCAATCACCAATAAGTAATATCACATTTTGGGTCTATGCAAAACCTATACCTGGGGTGCATAAAAAGGAAGAAAATCCAACCTTCTCTAATCTACAACAAACCTCATTGCTTTCCTTTCCAACAAGATTCTCAAAACAAGCATGAAAATATAGCCATCTAAAGCAAGAAGTAGAAACTTGAACCAACCAAATTTCTTCCACGACAAACTTTCTGATTTTTCACAAGAATGATATTAACATGAGAGTTTTGCTTGGGTGAATGAGCCTACGTGCATTTTACTAAACCAAAATAAGATATACAACAATCTCACGAGGACCATTCGACTTCCAAAACATGTATATAGAAACAAGAACATGAATCTACAATTTGAAATTCTAATTCAACTCTCCGCAAAATGCTAGTAAAAGTTCTTCATATTTAAAGTCTTCCATAAGCTTTCAATATTGATGACACCATTAGCATTCATATAAGATTTGGCAAAACCACAAGAGAAAGAACAAAATTTCTCATGACATCTATAGACACATTTCACCAAACAATTGAAATGCAATAATGCGAAGCTAAGCAAATAATATGACATGGAAATCAAACTTCTACTATACTCAACCACAAGAGGAAAGAAGCTCTACTCTTGCTCCCCTTCCTCTTTACTCACAGGAAATCATAATTGTCTAATACACTAAGTAGCCATACCAACAATGCAAAAGACATGACTTCACCAAATTGCTTCCATCGGATGAAGTCATCAAAGTATATTAGCCTAATACTACAGCATTCCAATCTTAAAAGGATCGCATCCAAACAACAAACTAGAAGGAAAGAAAGGAATGAAAAGAGAAAGAAATATAGGGAGTGGAGAAGAAGGAAAAGAAAGGAGAAGGAGAAAGGGAAGCAAATCAGTAAAGAAGAAGAGTAGGAAGAAGAAGAGCTCACCTTGGGGGTCAAGAGGAATAAGGCAGGTCGGTGGGTTCGGATCGCACAAAAGAGGCCAGAGTCGGACCTGGTTCGGGTGTGCGGAGCTGAGAGCGGGAGGAGGCGCTGCCTCTCGGTTCGGTCAGAACAGCAGGGAGACGATTTCGCCTGGGATGTTCGGAACTGAGAGCTGGGACGGCGGGAGCTGGAGTTCGGCTCGACTCCTTCTGCGAACAGAAGGAGAAATCGGGAAGGGAAGTCGGGCTGGTTGGAGCTGGAGTCGCGAACGAGAGAGGGGCTGGGGAGGGGGTCGGCGTGAGAGGGAGCTGGGAGCCTGGGAACTTCAGAACCGAGAGCCAGAGAGCGGGGGAGAGAGAGCTGGAGCGAAAATGAGAGGGAGGAAGATCGGACCGAATGCCTAGAGCTGAGACCTTCGTTTCGAGTAAATTGGACTCGTTGCCGAAGGAGGATTCCCGCCTTCTTCGATCCATCGCAGCAGCGGCTCAAGACACGCAAATGAAGCCTGCTATCTGCTTCGAATCGCTGCTCCTCCTGTGAGAGATCACACGCTTTAGGGAAAGGACTATACGAGCTTGCAATTCAATCGGGGCCGCTCGATCGCATTTCCTGATATAAGCATCAATTTGAATTTATCATAAAGTGGGTTGGAGTTTAACTGAAATTGTTTGAGCTAAATTAGGCCAGATTTGGCTAAGGTCGGGTTAAGCTCGAGTTCGAATTTGGCTCGATTCGAGTCGATTCGGGCTCAAGTCGGCTTAATAAAATTGGTCATACAAAAAATGGGTCCAAAATAATGAATAGTTCAAATCAAATCATGCACGAAGCGACGAAAACAAACTAATCGAGTCTAATTGAAAGCCTGACCATATTCGCAACAGCGAATAATGAGCCCTCCCAAAAGTCTAATGTCCACCTGACCAAAATCGCAATGGTGGGACAAAAGAAGAAAGTCCAACATCCACCTGACCAGATCGCAACAGTGAATTAGGACAACCCAATGTCTGCCTGACCATATTCGAAACGGCAAAACAAAGGGGAAAAGAGAAAGGGAGTTCAGCATTCGCCTGACCATATTCGCAACGGCGAATGAGAACAGCTCAATATTCATCTGACCATATTCGCAACAATGAATAAAGAGCTTCCCAAAAGGTCTAATGTCTGCCTGACCAGATCGCAACAGCAGAAAAAAAGACAAAATCCAACATTCACCTGACCAGATCGCAACAGTGAATGAGGATGACTCAATGTTTGTCTGACCATATTCGAAATGACGAAACAAAGAGTAGAAGTCACCTCTACAACCACCCAACGCACAAGTGCGTGGTGCTGTAAGGGAAAGAAAAGTAAGTAATCCATCATCTAAGGAAATCTCAAACTTATATTTCCATTACCACATGGTAGAGGACAAATCGTCGTGGCCATGAGTAATCAAAAAATAAGTAGGACTTCTAAGATAAAATTGAAATCATATAACATGAAGTAATCGACTGATGCATATCTCTCTAAAAAGAGGAACATACAAACAGTTGAGTAGAAAGGATAATCTCATATCAACGGAATAGCAATTGGAATGACAAGGGGACACACTTGTCACTAAGAACAATCAATCATCATCTCAAAAATTAGTGATTACTAAAGAAATCATAGTGGTAACACCCATGTTAACTGATGGGACCCTATGAAAAGTACAAGTAATATTTATGTATTCAAAGAGACTACTCTTACAGCTAAAAGCAGGGTCTCAATGAGAAAATATGTCATTTGAAAGAAGTAGTGGATCAACTTTTTACTAGAAGATCAAAATCCACTAAGAAGTGATACTAACATCTGGAATTAGATGTACCATATCACAAGTAAGGGAGAACAACATCCCATTAAAAATAAAGAATCATAATCGAAGAAGTGAACATATAGTCATCTCCTAAGCAATCATCGAAATGCTTTAAGGAGAGAGAGCAGGGAATTTGAGAGGACTTTGGGCTCTTGGAGCGTAGAATCGGGTTCCACCTGTGATAAGGGCAACCGATTATACTCAACTGAGAGCTTCCCTCTTGAAAGAAAAGAATTTTAAGGGACTTTGGGCTCTTGGAGTGTAGAACCGGGTTCCACCTGTGACAAGGGCAACCGATTCTACTCAACTAAGAGCTTCCCTTTTTTTTTTAAAGAGGGGGAAATTGTTGGCTTTGATAACCCAGGCCATACTCATCACATGAATAAAACTGGGGAGAGATAAAGATTGTATACAGGATCTACAAAGGAACTAAACATTGGCTTTGATAACCCAGGTCACATTCAACTCATATGAATGAACTGGGCAGCACAATTATTATAACATAATTTGTAGAGAAATTCATATAATGACAATGGGTCAACATCACTAGATTTAACTAGTATAGATCAAGGATGGACCTAGTATCACATTCCATAGAAGTTCGAATTAGTAGTTTTGGTATCCTAGACCACACTTGAAGGTAACAAGTGAAACTGGGGAGAGAGAAAGATTACAGCAACAATTCGTAGAGAAATTCACAAAGTGACAATGGATCAACATCACTATATTTGACAAATATAAACCAATGATGGACCCAATATCACATTCTTTAGAGATTCAAGCTAGTAGTTTTGATATCCCAGACCACACTTGAGGGTGACAAGTGAAACTGGGGAAAGTCAACCCTCAAAGTGGACTGAAAATGAGATCTTGTGCAATAATGTCAAAGTGATTAGTGAATGCCGATGTAAGCACAAATATCCCTACGGTGTATTTACACACAACCCTTAGGGATGATCTCACACTTTGTATGACGAACATCACGTGGTAGATGACAAATCGTCGTGGCCACGGACTGCCAAAAAGTGCGAGAAATCCTTTAGAGTTATATCTATACAAAAGGATATTTACAAGTGGCGGGGAATGCCCCTTGCGATGTGCAAACTCAAGCGTAGTATTTTCTCAAGTACTGCCCATTAATGACGAGCATGGGATGAACACCATTCGCATCAACTAGCAAATAAGATCCGCCTTCATATACTTGCTCTACAACGAATGGGTTTTCCTAAATGGGCTCAAATTTACCACCTCGATGACGACGCGAGATGATAGGCCTACGCAAGACAATGACTAATTCCCCGACCTGAAAAGCACGGGGTCGATTAAGGCGATCATGGGCCTGGGCCATACGGGCCTGGTACATTTTAAGGTTCTGATAAGCTTGCAAACGGAGCTCTTCTAAACCATCAAGTTCTTCTAACCGGAGTCGGGCATTATCTTCGTGGGACAAATTGTGGCTAATTTCTACACGCAACGGAGGGAGCTTGACCTCAAGTGGGAGGACAGCTTCAACCCCAAAAGCTAAAGTATATGGGGTAGACTGAGTAAGAGTACGGTATGTAGTCCTATAGGCCCATAATGCTTCAGGCAATTTGTCGTACCATTCTCTTTTATTTGCCATAAATATTTTTCTTATCAATTGGACTACGGTCTTATTAAATGCTTCAGCCAAACCATTAGCCCTAGGATAGTAAATCGAGGAATACCGCCAATTTATGTTATGACGACAGGAAAATCTAGCAATCTTGGTACTTCTAAAAGATGGGCCGTTATCCGAAATTATACGGCGCGGAACATCAAAGCGGTAGACAACATGATCGCGAAAGAAGCGCATCACATCTTCTGATTTGACTTCCTTAAGCGGGATAGCTTCTGCCCACTTAGAGAAGTAATTGTAGCAGCCAGAATGAATCTATGACCCTTAGAGGAATGAGGGTCAATAAGACCCACTACATCCGTGCTCCAACTTTCAAAAGGCCAAGAAGAAACAGTGGGGTGCAACGAATTAGGAGGTTGATGAATAACAGTATTATGAATCTGGCATTGGTGGAACTTTCTAGCGTGCTCTATGCAATCACGGATCATAGTCGGCCAATAATAACCAAGGCGTTTAATTTTGACCTTCATCTTAGGTCCGGACTGATGAGCACCACAAAGTCCCTCATGTACTTCGCCCATGACCTTACGAGCCTCCTCGTTGTTGAGGCAACACAACCACATCTGGTCAAAAGAGCGTCGGTACAAGGTTTTGTTCACATAGGAGAAGGACAAAGCTCTCTTTCTAATTTGAGTGGCAAGAGAACGGTCATCCGGAAGCTTACCACGCTTCAAGTATTCCATAAAAGGGACTCTCCAATCTGACTCTTCCTCAACAGCGCATACTATGAGGGTCTGATCGGGAGAAGACAAGTCCGCGGGGCACAAGGCTTGTCGGTACTGGACAACAACCGACACCGGATTTCCATTCGGGTCAGCCAACTCCTTAGCAAGTTTAGCTAGTGCATCCGCTATACTATTCTCAGATCGAGGGACTCTAACTAAAGTTACTTAAGGGATCAAACACAAGAGCTCCATTGCCCTATCGTGATAAGGCAAGAGCTCAGGTTTGAGGACTTTGAAAATTCCAGCTACTTGATTAATGATTAGTTGGGAATCTCCAAAGATCTTCACCCGCACGATGCTCATCTGAATTACCAACTCAAGTCCTACAATTAGGGCTTCGTACTCAGTTTCATTATTTGTACGAGGCTCTGAAAGATTGTAGGAGTAACGAAGGGTGTGGCCTTCAGGAGACACAAAAACAAGCCCCAAACCTACCCTAACTACAGGAGTTTCGTAAGGACGTAGTGATTTGATGGAAGAAGCTCCATCAAAGTAAAACTCCCAAGTAGGGGACTCCTGCTCTTCCACACTCATGACTAATTCATCAGGCAAATCGTCATTAAGTGGGGAATCTGCAGGGATCGGGTGAGAAGCAAGAAAGTCAGCTAAAGCCTGTCCTTTGACGGCCCGCTGAGGGACATAGGTAATGTCAAACTACAATAAAATCATAGACCAACGTGCTAAACGACCTGACAAAGTCTGACGGGTCATCAGGTACTGCAAAGGGTTGACTCGAGAAATTAAACTGATCTTGTGTGATAGCATATAGTGTCTAAGCTTCTGCACAGCAAAGATTAAGGCCAAACACTGCTTTTCCATTGCCGGGTATTTTAGCTCTGCAGGAATCAGACGTCTGCTAAGGTAATATAAGGCATTCTCTTTGCCTTCTTCATTTTCTTGAGCTAAAAGTGCACCAAGTGACTCATCCAAGTCAGTAGTGTAAAGAATCAATGGTTTACTAGGGATGGGTGCAGCTAACACTGGGGGATTCGTCAGGTAGCGTTTTATGCTCTCAAAGGCCTCCTGACAATTCTTATCCCAATGGAAGTAGGCATTCTTCTTTGCTAGAGCAGCGAAAGGATGGCATCTACCGGCAAGATTGGAGATAAATCTCCGCAATAAAATGAGCTTACCCTGGAAAGACCTCAACTGGGTGAGACTCCTAGGGGGTTTCAAGTCCACTATAGCTTTGATCATGGAAGGATCAATCTCAATGCCACGATAGCGAACAATAAAACTAAGAAACTTCCCCGCATAAATGCCAAATGCACACTTTAGGGGATTCATCTTCAAATCATGCTTTCTTAAGCGCTCAAAAATGATTCGTAGGTCTCGGAGGTGATCACTACGGACCTTGCTTTTGACCACTAAATCATCCACATAGCATTCAACTTGCTCATGAATCAACTCATGAAAAATGATAGTCATTGCACGCTGATAGGTGGCCCCGACATTCTTGAGGCCAAAGGGCATCACCTTGTAACAAAACACACCTATGGGGGTGCGAAAGGCAGTGAATTTCTCATTTTTAGGGGCCATCTTAATCTGATTGTAACCAGATGAACCATCCAAGAAGGAGAAAATGCTATGGGATGAAGCAATATCAACCATGAGTTCAGGGATAGGAAGAGGAAAATCATCTTTAGGACATGCCTTATTCAAATCACGGAAGTCTATATAGACACGGATCTGACCATTCTTCTTTCGGACTGGAACAACATTGGCAAGCTAAGTGGGATACTTCTCTTCACGAATGAAACCAACTTCTATAAGCTTCTTAGTCTCGGCGATCACCTGTTGTTCAATCTCTAACCTCATCCGACGAGGTGACTGCTTGATAGGGACTGCATCAGGACTAATAGCTAACTTGTGGACTACTACTTCTGGATCTAGACCGGGCATCTCCGTATAGTTCCAGGCAAAGCAATCTTTAAATTCAAAAATGAGTGCAACATACTCTTGAGCCTCTGACTCGGATAGCAAAGCACTATGAAAGATAGGCCGAGGATCCGATTCAGTGCCCAAATTGATCTCACAGAACTCATCCATGACATAATTGCTGCCATCTTCGAATTCACGTGGAGCTTCAAGGACCCTGTCCTCATTCTCCTTTGGGTCTTCATCATCGGAGATGGAAACGACCGGATAGGAATGAGAAACAACCCGAATGTTGGCGGAAGGGGACTGATCTTCTTGAGAATAGCCTATACCCTGCCCAGTTCGACGAAAATCAGTTCGCCAAATACGGGCCTGTTGTTGGGCCTGTCTACCTGACCAAGTCGAAGGGATAATGTCTCGCTCAACAAAGTTATCCACAGCAGAGAAAATGTATCGGGGAACTGGCATGATCTCATCATCTACAGTGGATTCCATAGGATCCTGTATGTCCGTACTCTGTGGGACACCTATACTATGGAACAACGATGCATGCCAAGCAGATTGTGGTGGCACATAGAGAGTGTGCAGCTCTTGTACAGAGCGTCTATCTAAGGGTGGTGCACCACGAACACTAGTAGAAGGTGTAGGGGAAGGTTGAGGAGGAGATTCCTCAATTCTCATCCCATACATCTGGTGAGAAAGGAATTGTTGGCTAGTAGTCTGACGTCCGACATCTCCGTCGTCGTCTGAATCACTATCAATAATCAAACCACCCTGAGGAATCAAACTCCTATGGAAAGTGGGATAAGAATTGTGATCAACACTAAAGGCAGGTAAAGGGATTGAATGACGAGGAACATCAATCATCTCATCATCAGAGTTGGACTCAACAGTCAAAGGGGAAGTGTACAAGTGTAAGGGAGGAGGGATTCGAGTATCAAAAATCCTCGGAGGGCGAACTGACTCTCTACCTCGACCTCTACCACGCAATCCTCTACCTCTACTAGGGGGAGCATCGCGCCTGACTACAAACCTTAAAGATTAATCAAGGTCTGCAGTGGAAGCATCTGCCTCAATCGTAACCTGTGACGGACCCTGTGCTAGTAGTTGTATAGGACCCTGTGCAAGTGACTGCATAGGACCCTGTACAACACTAGTGGGTATCACTGGTGACTGGGCAGGGGGAGGTCTACGAGCTTTTCGAGGCATGTAATGCTCGGCATCATCATAGACAGAGACCTCATGCACGACAAAAGGTTGAATATCTCCTAGGATGGAAAACTCAACGTCATTTCTCATATACTTCATGCACTGATGCAGTGTAGAGGGCACCATTCCATATTCATGTATCCAAGGCCTTTCTAAGAGAGCCTTGTATGAAGTATCTACCTCAATAACATGAAACTTTGCCTCAGTCAAAAGATCTCCGAAACGCAAAGGCAAAGTGATGGAACCTAGAGCTCGCTGACCTTGATCGTTGAAACCCTTCAGCATAATCTTGTCTGAAGTGAGCTTTAAGTGACCAAGGGAAAGACTCTGTAGGGTGGCATGATTAAGGATATTAACTGAAGCTCCTTGGTCAATGAGGACCCTGTTCAACTCATAACAATTTACTTCAGTGGTGACGTACAAGGGACGGTTGTGATCAGGAGTCCCTAAAAAAAGATCCTGATCTGAAAAGGTAATGCATGACATCTCTCTCAAATAGCATGCATCCTTAACTGACTCAGTAGCAAAGAAAGCTTGATAAGACTCTGGTTCAAGCAAAGCTTTCACCAAGGTCTCTCTCAAGTCGGAAGACATCATAAGTGCATCATAAACGCTAAGGAGGGAAGGGATCTTTCTCAAATGAGCCAACACATTATAATCAACATCCAACTGAGGGCCTTTTCCCTTCTCCTTAGCCGGTGATTGAGGAGGAGGGATAGGATCATCCTGTTGGGTAATGATGTTTCTATCTTTCTCTTTATTATTTTTAGTCATTTTAGGTAGAAGGACCTTATCTGAACGTAACTGTATCTCTCGTATTGAGTCGGACTCAATAGAGGACTCATTTGGTTCAGGTGACATGGCTTATGTTGGTTAAATAAAAGGTGCTTGAGGAGTGTTCTCAGATTCATCTTCAGAATCCATATAACAACCTCCTTCAGGAATAGCAAACACAGGCTCTTCCTCATATTCAAACTCTTCTCCATAAGAGAGACCATCATCATTTTCAGAAATAAACAAAAGAGAAGAAGAACGAGTGCTAGAAAAAGTAGAACTAGAAGGAATAAGACACCAAAAATAGCCAGAATTGTTTTCTTCCATTAATTCATCATCAGTTAAAGAGAGAACAAAATCCTTCAGCGTAAGTGCTGGAAGAGATCTTGTCTTCCCCCTAGAAGTTACAATAAATTTCTCTCTTTCATACATCTTCCTAGTACAAGTAGAAGTAGAGGAAATGTACTCAGTAGGCACTACAACAGAAGAAGAAAAAGAAACT